TATTTGGTTACTCACCTCCCTAACATTTTCATCTCGTGCCTATGCTTACTTTAAAACTGAGTTGCTAATGCCTAAATTGGGGAGAATGGACGTGAATCACATGGACATCCATACTACCAAAAATTAAGGCCATAGAACGAAGCTTAAAGAGGGGTTGTTCCTGGGTTCCCTCTCTTTGGCGTCTGATCCACAAATGGCTGCCTACTTACAGCCACCAGGAATATAGTTTGTCTGGTCTTTCTCACACTTAAGGCCATAGAACGGTCTTGGCATGCTTGCAATTCTAGACTGGCAAGGTTGCAATCTATTTATATATTTATTTATTTTCCTTATATTCTCTGATTGATTGTTTAGAAGACATAGGACAAGAAATGAAACAAGGAAACGTTATTAGTGAGAGTTTTTAAAGGTTCCAAGTTTCAAATATATATTTTACCACAAGGTTTCAGAAATAAAATATTGCATTGGTGATCTTTAACCCTTGTTAATTTTAGTCTTTCCCTTCCCTTCGCGTTGTCCTCAATGTGGACAAGTCAAATTTCTCTCATTTTATCTCCAATTGGTGTCTTTTTAGAGAATGGAATTCTCTCTCCATCTCCCGCCAGCCTTGGCAAGCTCAGCCCATAGTAAATTGAAATGTTAAGAGGACAGGAGAGTATGCTTTTGTATATGTGTTGGCCGGTGAATGTCTGAATGCCTTCTAATGGCTGCATATATTTTGCTTACCTGTCTAGTATTATTGTATTGGGTCCAAAGCGTAGAATGTTTGATCTTGTTACTAGATAGGCAACATTCATCTCTGTCAGTTAATTATGTCAATCACAAAGCATGTTTGACGATGCATTCAGAGAAGGCTTGTGAATTGAAAATGCTCGTGGTTATATTTAGCAACCACCGTGAAAAAGTTACCTACTCTGCTACTCAAATATTATTTATTTATTGGGTCCGGACTCTGGTCAATTCACCAGCCAGTGCTGAGCACTAATTGGCTCCTCTTCTAGATGGCCCATCAACTTAAGCATTGTGACATTCATTCTTCAGTTTCCTTGTTTTGGTTCAAACAAGCTATGGCTACTCATTCATTTTCTCTCTGTGCCTCTTTGGATTCGACAATGTGCTATTCTTCCTTCAAATATGAGGAGACTGCATTGATTTGTCGAGGAAGTTATCATAAGATGAAATTTGTGTTTGCTGTCTCACATGTCTTCTCTTGCTTTCATGTATTACACTGTTGGATTACCTTTTTCTGTGTTGATTGTTTTGACAACATTCCCATCATCATTGCCTATTGATCCCATCTTTCTGGAATTATGCTGCTCACACACAATATTTATCTATCAAAAAAAAAAAGAAAAAAGGATCAGCTACAGTCTATGTCTAATGAATCCCCTGGCAACTTTGATTCTTGTCTTCCTCCTGCATTTAATGTCTACTTTGTTTCACTGTGCCTCTGCTGAACCTTTTTATTATTATTATTATTATTATTATTATTTAATTTTATATATCTTAACAACCAGGCCATGGGTGTTGAATGCCATTCTGACTTGGCTGGATGAACGAGTTAACTGTGAAGAGCGTTTCTAACATTTTTCTAGCGGCCAAGCTTCCAACTGCCTCGCCTGATAGAATGACCCATGGAAATGTTCAAGTCCTATATTGATGTGAGAGATTAAATTGCTTAATTTCTGGTTTAAGCACTTTCGCCTGCAGGTTGATAAGGTAGCTGATGAACTAACAAGGCTGATCCTTTTCGGAGGCCCTCTAGGTATTTGTATTTTAACTGGTGTCCATGACAAGAGGGCCCTGGACGAACACTCCATGCGTTTTGTATGTCCCAGTGTTGGACAAATTTCTTGTTCCAGGTCTCTGCATTCTTTACATGACAGTACTTCCAAGCATTTCTACCCTGCATTTTGGGTGGCTTTTCTTTTGGCCTTGTTTTATTGTTCTACATCTCTCAATGGTGAAATATATTTAGGCCGTGTTTGGCGGCATGGAATTGGAGAAAATTTTGGTTCAATTTTTCCAATTCCAATTCCAATTCCAAAGCTCCAATTACATGTTTGCCTGCCAAACATAGCCTTATGGGTGTTTGGCTAGTGATGACATGAATCATTTCAAGATAATTTGTAATTCATTTTTGTTAAAATCAGTAAAACTATTATTGTTCCTTCCAATCCATGAGTGTGTTGAACTTGTAAGATTATAGTTGGGACAGGTGCTCTATTTTTCTTACCTGCCTCATTCCTATCCATAAATTGTCAATGTAGCTCAGATATTTTGGACTTCTATGTTGTCCAATTGGATTTTGCATCAGAGTTTGCTTGTTTCACAAAGTTTTCTGAACAGACCATCATTATAACTGTGTTTCAATGAAAATTTTGAAATGGAATTCATTCACTAGCAAGTTTTAGTTCCCATTTTTTATTTTTATTTATTTATTTGTTTTAGTTGGTACTCACACACTCATGCCTTCACTGAAGTTTGAACCTCTAACCTTTCTTTGAAAAGTATGAGTTTGTTATTGTTAGGTCACTGGCCCGGTGGTCATTTCAATTCCCCATTCATGTGTATCTACGAAACACGGACATTTCTACGAAGGAGTCGTACCCGTGTAGTGTCGGATACATATCCGACAATTCATATATGCATCCATAAATAAAAATAATTTTTTATTATTTTGGACACTTTCCCGACACTTTGGGATAGTTCGCCGACACTTTTTGGACACTTAGGTCGACACTTTCAAACATCTCCAGCACAAAGCTTACTCGGTAATCTAAAAAATAATATGAACACATTCTGAAGTGTTCTACTTTTCCCTATAAAAATTGACATTATACACGAATGACCACAAGCAAAGCATTAAATGATATTTATTCATTTAAAATAAAACATATGATATAAAGTCATTACAACTCTTAATATAAAAATTAAAAATGAATTAAAATTTTATAATATTATTTACTCAATACATGTATATAGATAAAAATTCATATTTATATATAGCGTGTTTAAGTCGTATCCGTATTTTACTTTTTAAAAATTTAACGTGTTGGCATGTCCATATCATGTCGTATCTGTGTCTCGATTGTGTCAATATTCATACTACATAGATGTGTATCAATCAATAACAAGGTGTGCAATCAATAACAAGGTAAGGTATGCGCAAAACCTCCATTTTCCACACGCTAAATTCTAAAAATGTCAAGCTGATATTTTTTTAAACAGGTACATTGATATTGCATTAGTTTTATGAGCAATGTCAACTTCAGTTTTTCTATCCCTTTCCAACTGCCCCTTTATAATTCTTCTTGTAAACTAATAATGGACTTATTGGTAGAAAATATGATCACACAAATAAAATTAAATTATCTATATACACTATTCTATTGGTAGTTAAAAAGCAACTTGGGTTTTAATTGGATTGTTTGAAATTTGAATTTAGCTTGTCTTGGTTGGTCTTTTTTTTTAGATTTTTTTTCTACATGTCAATTAAACAGATTGAGTTTGTCATTTTTTTTTTTTTTTTTTTTTTTTTTTTTATGTCAAAAACTATTAATCAAAAAGATTTTTTTTTTGAAAAAAATAATTAATTTTTATAAGAGAACCCAAGCTCATGTGAGGTGGTCTTGGTTTAATATAATCAAATATTGTTTGGTTTTTTAAAAACTCTATTTTTTTCTTTTCTTTTCATTGGCAACTCTATTTTAAAAAACACATAATATAAATTCTCAAAAACAGATACATTTCGTTATAATCAAATTAATATAAACAAGTGAAAGTAAAAGAAAGTGAAATGAATGTAGAAAATTTAATTTTCTTTATTTGATTACATAAAATTTTTTAGGCTATGTTTGATTGCATGCAATTGATTATTCAATTCCAATTTCAATGCTGTGTTTGGTAGGAAGGAAGAAAATTGAATGGAAGAGAAAAAATAAGAGATAAATAAGACATTCCTGGGAAAGCAATTGTGTCATTTCATTTTTTTTGTTTGATTGGATGGAAATAATTTTTTCGCTTATGTTAATATGGAGGGATAAAAATTTGTGAAAGAAGAAAGATAACTCATTTATCATATTTTCTTTTCTCTATGTAAGATCTCAAGGGTTACAGATATATATGTAAGATCCAGATCTCAACCAAACAAGGGTTACAAAGGTTAGGTTTCAAGGCAAGCGTGGGGATTATTTGTTATATAATTGCCTTATTAGTAAAAGAAATGATTCAGAAGAAAAAATACACAGTTTACATAAAGAACCATACAATGCCATAAAGCATTTTTTAAGAATATATTTAGAACGAAAAAAACTCCACATTCACACGTAGTTCGAAAAACAGTATTTATATATGTATATATAAATAACGCAATGATAATGTTCAAATACGTAATAACAAACAAAAGAATTTGGTAGGTTCTTCTCTTTTCTTTCATTCAAGCGAACAAAAGGAGTAAGTTCATAATCTCTTCTCTAGGGATGTCTTATCCTTCCATTCTTCTCTCCCTTCCATCCAATTTTCTTCTTTTATAACGAACGGAGCATAAGAAAATTTGTCTACTAAAATGGTTTTCAAAAAAAAAAAAAAAAAAAAAAAAAAATTCTGTATGTTTTTAAAGATCTTTTTTTGAAAAATTAAGTAGTTATAGAAAATAAATTTTCGGTAAAAATATACCTTTTTTTTTTTTTTGTAAGAATTTATTTTTTTATTTGTTTTCTTGCTATTTCCTTATACATTGCAGAACCAAAAATGGTTAATAAAAATTCCAAAAATTGATTGAACCCGAACCTCTACCTGAAATCGTATAACTTTCCTTTGATAGAACAAAAAGGGCTTTGGGAATCCAAACAAAGATGTCGTGTGAACCCAGGAAAAAAAGTACTCCTACTAAAACCGGTCCGAACGCAAACCAATCAAAACAGATTCAACTTGGAATCTTTTTAGAGTCTACAGACTCTACATGGCCCTCTCATAAATTTTCTAAAAAAAAAAGGAAGCATATTATATATATATATAAATCGTATATAATAATAGTAACATAGTTCTACAAGACTGATTATAACGGAGTAGTATTCACCGCCATGGAAGCTTAGACAGTATACATACTCCTTCGTATATAGGATTTTAGAGAGAGAAAAATCGACCGCTAAGCTACATCATCATTATAAGAGAGCACCATCAACAATTAACACTTGCCTCTTCCTCCTTTCAACAGTTATTCTCTTCTCTCTCTAAAAAACTATATATATATACATGTATATGTATCTATCTATAGACGTGTATGCCCAAGCAACGTAACCTATCATTCCCTAATTCTTCCCGAATCTAGATTGGATTTTGCGTTTGGTAGAGAAATCTGTTCGGATTATAGGGTTTCTGATTGGAGATTTTGGGGATTGGAGAGCTGATTCGAGAAAGATTCGATCTTTTTCGTTTGTGGGAAGCGATTGAATTCGAATATTATTAATTTATTTTTTTTAGGGTTTGGAGATGATGAGAGTTTGTGAATCGGGAAGCGTTTGATCGCCGTTTATCGGCGAGGCGATTCGGGGTTTTGAGGGGGCTGGGTTTTTGTATGGAAACTCGGAGCCGGAAGCGGGCGGAGGCCACCTCGTCAGCGCCTTCTTCTTCTTCGTCTGGTCCAACCACCCGTTCCACCAAGCGAGCTCGTCTTTCCGCCACCGCCACTGCCGCCGCAGCTGCTTCTTCGTCTTCAGTTCCCACCACTAACCCCGTCGTCGTTTCATCAATCTCGACTCGTTCACGAACTACTCGGTCCCAAGACTCTCTGGCTTCTTCCACTCCCATGGATTCCACCAACGAATCGTCTGGCTCTGCTGCCCGGCGTGAGCCCGGTGGCCGACGTGGAAAGAATCAGGGTTCAGATAAGGATAACTCGGATAAAGGAAAGGAAAAGGAGCATGAAGTTAGGGTTAGGGATAGAGAGAGGGAAACCGAGAGGAGCTTAGGGTTGAACATAGACGGTGGTGGTGGGTTAGACGACGATGATAATGACAGTGAGGGCGGTGTTGGGATTTTGCATCAGAATTTGACCTCTGCAAGTAGTGCACTTCAAGGGCTCCTTCGCAAATTGGGAGCAGGATTGGATGATTTGCTTCCATCATCGGCTATGGGATCTGCCTCGTCATCGCATCAGAGCGGCCGTCTCAAGAAGATATTATCTGGGTTGCGAGCAGATGGCGAGGAGGGGCGGCAAGTTGAGGCATTGACACAGCTTTGTGAAATGCTATCGATTGGAACTGAGGATTCCCTCAGTACATTCTCTGTGGACTCTTTTGTTCCTGTGCTCGTGGGGCTGCTTAACCATGAGAGCAATCCTGATATCATGCTCCTTGCTGCCAGGGCGCTGACCCATCTGTGTGACGTGCTACCGTCATCGTGCGCTGCAGTTGTGCATTATGGTGCTGTTTCCTGTTTTGTTGCTCGGCTGCTCACAATTGAGTACATGGACTTGGCTGAACAGGTGATCTTGTGAATGATTTTGTGAAAAGAACAATTTTAAATGAAAACAGAAGTCAATATTTAAGTTTGAATAGTTAATTTCTTATAAATTAGAGAACTGCATTTGTTAGATAGATATTAACATGTTATCACCATTCTTTGTGTCGAATTCACTGCAATTGGCAAACTTTATTGTTTCAAAGTTTCTCTTTTTGATAACTAAGCTTATTTTAATGGACAGTCACTGCAAGCTTTAAAGAAGATATCTCAGGAGCACCCAACAGCTTGTTTGAGAGCTGGCGCACTTATGGCAGTACTTTCGTATCTTGATTTCTTCTCCACAGGAGTTCAGGTAACTTAAATAGTGAAAATTTCAACTTCCTGTGATAATGTGTTACCATAGGAGAAACCTGTTTTACTTTGTGAAACCCTACTGAGTCATGGTGTCTTTCTCAGCGAGTAGCATTGTCTACTGCTGCAAATATGTGCAAGAAACTCCCTTCAGATGCATCTGATTTTGTGATGGAAGCTGTTCCTTTGTTGACAAACCTTCTTCAGTACCACGATGCGAAGGTGTGGTCACCATTTTGTAGTTTCAAGCTTGACGTTAGCAAATACCTTTTTTGTCTTTGTTTCTTATTTTCTGTGTACTGCTTTGTGTTTGTAGGTGTTAGAGCATGCGTCTGTTTGCTTGACTAGAATTGCTGAGGCATTTGCATCATCTCCAGATAAGCTGGATGAACTTTGCAATCATGGACTAATTACACAAGCTGCCTCACTTGTTTCCACCAGTAGTTCTGGAGGTGGTCAGGCATCTCTTAGTACACCAACATACACGGTAGATTCCATTCTTATTTCGCTTCTCCATTAAAATGTCATTTGTATTTGGAGGCTCCAGTTCTAACTTTAAAAGGCATTCAGGGCTTAATCAGGCTGCTTTCAACATGTGCAAGTGGTTCACCTCTAGGAGCCAAAACTTTGTTACTCCTTGGGATCAGTGGCATTCTTAAAGATATACTATCAGGTTCTGGCCTTGTTGCAAGCATATCTGTTTCCCCGGCCTTAAGTAGACCGCCAGAGCAGGTACTTGCTGCATCTTCTTTTTCTTTTCATATGCGGTTTTGTGGGTACTCTCATACTCTTGTGTTTACCAGAGATTTTTACCTTTCTGCAATTTGATCTATACTGTGAGGCATGAATGCGGAATTTCGAATGGTTGAATCTCATGGAACCATTGGAATCAGAAGAGAATATCTCAAGGTGGAATACTGGCCCACCTTTAAGGGTCATCTTTGTGTTACTCACTACATGCAGTTGTTAGCACAAGGAAACAGAGAGCTTGTTTTTGTGTTAATTCTCCAAGTTGGTCTATCATCTATCGGTTAATAATTACTTGTTAGATAGCTGCATGTTATTTTGGTCAGTGGATGGTGGATGAGAAAGAAAAAGAGATGTTTCATGGTTGTGTATGATTGTGCTAGTTATTTTCCATCGTGTTAATTTTTTATTGGTATCTTATTTTTCTAATATGCAATTTCACTTCCCTCGGGTTATTTATTTTTGTTTCAAGTGTTTTGCATTTTGTTTTTCTTTAACATGCTATTAATTAGCTTATGATTTTGGAACCAATCTGCTTCATATGGATATTTATAAGCTTCTGGTTATCATTTCACTGGTTAGATATTTGAGATCGTGAATCTTGCAAATGAGCTTCTTCCCCCACTTCCTCAAGGAATCATCTCTCTTCCAGCCAGCACTAATTTGTTTGTTAAAGGATCTTTGTCAAAGAAGTCTACTGTCAGTAGTTCTGGCAAACAAGAAGATACAAATGGAGGTGTGCCTGAGGTTTCAACTCGTGAGAAACTATTAAATGATCAACCAGAACTTTTGCAGCAATTTGGAATGGACATTCTTCCAGTTCTGATTCAGGTCAGTTTTCCAGAGAACTTGGTTACCACCTAGATGCTACTTGCTACATTTAGTAAGCAGTAATGACTTGTTTTTTCCCCCAAGCAGATATATGGATCCAGCGTGAATGGTCCTGTTCGCCACAAATGTCTCTTAGTTATTGGAAAATTGATGTACTTCAGCTCTGCAGATATGATCCAGTCTTTAAATAGCGTGACAAACATATCGAGGTATGACCATGTCTATAATGTTTGTCTATTTAATATTCTTTTCCACTTGTCTGTTTAAATACTTATGTAGAATACATTATTTGGTTCCTAGTTTCTTAGCTGGGGTTTTAGCATGGAAGGATCCACAAGTTTTGATTCCTGCTCTTCAGATAGCCGAGATTCTAATGGAAAAGCTTCCTGGGACTTTCTCAAAGATGTTTGTGAGAGAAGGTGTTGTTCATGCTGTAGATGCACTTATAGGAACTGGGTCCTCTAGCACTGCTCCTTCCCAACCATCTTCAAATGAGAAGGATAATGATTCTATACCTGGAACATCATCACGTTCTAGGCGTTATCGACGACGTGGTGCTAACTCAAACCCAGATGTAAGTTCAACTGAAGATTCAAAAAGCTCGGTTCCGAATGTTGGTTCACCTCCTTCAGTAGAAATTCCAACCGTCAATTCTAGTCTTCGGATGGCAGTCAGTTCATGTGCCAAAGTTTTTAAAGATAAATACTTCCCTTCGGATAGTGGGACCAGTGAAGTTGGAGTTACAGATGATCTTCTACATTTAAAGAATCTTTGCATGAAGCTGAATGCTGGCATTGATGATCAAAAGACTAAATCAAAGGGAAAGTCCAAAGCCACTGGAATTTTTGCCGATATTTCTGGTAGTAAAGAGGAGAATTTGGTCGGGGTAATATCTGAGATGCTAGCAGAGCTTAGCAAAGGGGATGGTGTGTCCACTTTTGAGTTTATTGGTAGTGGAGTTATTAATGCTTTACTGAACTATTTTTCATGTGGATGCTTCTCGAAGGAAAGAATTTCAGATGCTAACCTGCCCAAGCTTCGACAACAAGCAATCAGAAGATACAAGTCATTTGTTGCAGTCTCCCTCCCTTCGAGTGTTGATGAAGGGAACCTGGCTCCTATGAGTGTGTTAGTTCACAAGCTTCAAAGTGCCTTGTCCTCCTTAGAGCGCTTTCCAGTGGTGCTGAGCCATTCTTCTAGGTCATCTAGTGGAAATGCACGCCTATCTTCTGGTCTAAGTGCATTGTCCCAGCCATTTAAGTTGCGTCTTTGTCGAGCACAGGAAGATAAATCTCTCCGTGATTATTCTTCAAATGTTGTACTAATTGATCCATTAGCAAGTTTAGCAGCTGTGGAAGACTTTCTTTGGCCTCGAGTTCAACGAAGTGAGTCTGGACAGAAACCCTCATCATCGGTGGGGAACTCTGAGTCTGGTACAACACCTGGAGCTGGTGCTTCATCACCATCTTCTTCTACTCCTGCTTCCACCACTCGTCGCCCTTCTACTAGATCCAGATCGTCTGTTAATATAGGAGACACAGCAAAAAAGGAGTTGTCTGAAGAAAAAGACACAAATTTGTCGAAGGGAAAGGGTAAAGCTGTCTTGAAGCCTGCTCAAGAGGCAAGAGGACCACAAACTAGAAATGCTGCCCATAGAAGATCAGCTTTGAATAAAGATGCACAAATGAAGCCAGTAAATGGGGACTCTAGTTCTGAGGTATGCTCTATATGCAATTCAATATGGTATGCCTTTTTTGTAGTTTAAAACAGAGTGAAATGTTGATTTCATTGTGCAATAGTTAGTCCACACTTGTAAATGGCTTTTGGATGCTGGCCATTATAAGTGTACTGCTCTGCTTATCTTGGTTCAGTTGAAAATGCTGCTTAGTCACATTGTCGTTCTGATTGCTATTACCAGTAGCTAGGTCTAGGTTCCAATGGAAAGAAGTGACACTTGAAGTATGACACCCTACTTGTGTCTTTCTAGTGTATTGGTTAACTTTCTGTAGACTTAGCCCAGCCCACCACAAATCCTCTGATTGAAATGGAACTTTTTCTCACTTTTTCTCCACTCCCGGAATTTCAGTAGACGTGATACTGGTTATGCAAACAGACTCAACATTTCACTTGCGGGAACAGAAAGAGCGTTCAGGCATATTGGAAAAAGCCTTTCAGGTACAAGAAATGAAGGAGCACTACTGCACTTCCCTAAGGTTTCTTCCCCATTTTTGCTAGTTGATTTAGTTGATATATTGCAATGGGGACACCAAGAGGTCTAGAAAGGGAACACAAATGAAGTATTGTTGAGTTTTAGTTGGCTGCCCTTATTATTTTAAATTTTTGGTTCTTCCGGTGGGGGGATTTTCTGCAAGTTGTAGGAAGAGTTCTTATATATTGTTTGGTTTCATTTTTCTCTTATGATCCTTTCGATAAGCTGAAGTGTGGAAGCTAGGGAGGGGAAGTAAAGGATATGGGATGGATGAATAGGTTTACATTGTTTGGTTGGATATAAAGGAGGATGGAGGGGAGATGTAAAGGAGACAGGACGGAAGCGCTTCCTATACTGGTGCATGCTAAAAGGGAGGCTATTTCGAGAGAGGTGTAGCGTAATACCTAGTTGGATTTCCGTACGTGAAACTGACCTTGAGAGGGGTTAATACATCTTATTTGCTTATTGTCCAGTTTGTACTTTTAATAAATAGTAACTACAACTGCACCAACAAAGCAGAACTAAAAGTAAACATAGAAACACAAAATTTCATGTGGAAAACTCAAATGGGGAAAACCACGGGATACTGATACAGAGCTCAGCAATCGACAATATAGAAGAAAGAGTACAGTGTTACCATGCTAATCTAGATTCTATCCCTACAATTCCTAGCTAGTTGTTTTAACATTGTATATAGACCAGCCCTCTATTTGCACTCATCAATGCAATGGCTCCTCACAATCTTCTTTTTCTTCAACGGTGATGCTAAAACATGGATTCATTACAACTAGTTATCTAGAAACCTTAGGAGAACCTTATCATTTAGGAGAACCTTATCATAACACAAACCACATACTCAATATCTCAAATTAGACTAAAAAAATGACTTGTTTGCATTGGGGATCAGAAAATATTAAGCTCTCTCTGAGTGCTTGCTTGCCTATGCGAATCTATGTTGTATGCATATTTGTAACTTATGTTGTATATAAAAAATAATATATGAGAATTTATTTAAGAGCATAAAATCATATGCTACTCTAAAAGAGTTTAAAACCAATTTGGATAATTTTAGACAAGTTAGAAACCAAGTAGAAATACTTTTATATTTTAGAAACCTTGCCTTTGCAATTTGCCAAATTGTGTAGTGGCTCTTCAATTCGAGTACTGGTGTTGATGCAAAATGTTAGAGAGGAGCAGAAGAGAGAAGAGGATATATGTGGGGAAGAAAATCTCTGTATTCTCTGGAAACAGTCTCTGTAATCTTTGTATCCACTCAATGCTACATCAAATGGGAACCACACAATCAAACTCTTTTTTTTTCTTCTTCCGTAAGCATAATCAAACCCTACTACCAAAAATAGAACCCTAAAAAACGAAGAAAAACAACATAAAATAAATCCTAAAATCATCATCTGCGCCTTTGTCTATAATAAGTATGTAGACCACGCAGCTCATCAAGATCTCTATATCAATTCTGCCTGGCTGAGAACTCTCTCCTCCGGAGAGTAAAGTTCGTGATACTACTCCAACAAGTCTAGGTACATGCTGTGAAACTCCTCCTTAGTGATCAACTTCTCATCTGCATCTGGATGACCCCTCCAACGGGCAAGGTATCGCTGATAACCACCCTAACGAGAAGCAATTATTTAAGGGTCAAGGACATCTGCAATCTGAACCGTACTTTTCAGCTGAAATGGTGAAAGAACTGGTGTTAATGAAAATGTGACTCCACCTGTGGGTGTACCTGCTGAAAAAGTAGAGAGGGTCAAAGGTGCTTCTGTAAGGAAACAAGTCTTCCACATTGAGAACTGACGGCGAGTAAGTAAAATATGCATTAGATCCTAACTCACGAATGATACAAAATGGTCTATTAGTTTGGGCATGCAAAATCTTAGAGGAGTTTTTAAGGTAACGTTTTGGGCATATAATCTTAAGCGTAATCTTTCATTGAATTCCTGATTCTTACGGTTAGCAGTTCGAACAATTTTATGATTTTTATTACTTAAAGCAAATTTTCGTCTTATATCGACATGAATATCATGGATGTGCTGGGCAAAGGATGCCATTCAGTGGGCTCAGAAGGACATGATTCAGGTGGTAAAGGAGTAAGGTCAACTGGATGGCGAGAGGAAAAAAACTTAGACAATCTCAAAAGAACTCTGACCAGCATAGCTGAGTCCCGCTGCCACCTTTATGCCATCACCAGCACCATCACTCTCTGCAGTCAGCTTTTCTGCTCTCTCTTTTGGGAACAAAAATCTCTCTAGAAAAACAAAAATTTCTTGCACCATCGAGTATCCAAAAATGACTCCCATCTCTCTTTACTCTTATTAATAGAATACAGTTGTTAGCAAATTATATTATCTTTCTGTCGCTGTCTTTGTCTCTGAAACAATCTTCCCCAATCCACCCCTCCCCCCTTACCAGCTCTCTCTGTACGCTCTAGGTTACCATCATGCATCATAAACCACAACCAAATCACTGTTTCTACTTTCTACAATATCAAGTATTTATTAGGAAACAAATCAAACTTTAAATGTGTGGTTTGAATGCTTTATTTTAAACCCAGAAATTGTATTGGGACCGACAGGACCTCCTTCCCACTTGTTCCATATTTCTTGAAAATTGCTCCATGGCACTGGCTGTGCAAAAACCTGTGGGACCTTTGCTTTTCTAGTTCCATCTTAGGTGGAAAATTTGTATTACCATTTTCCTTCCTAAGGAAAATGAAATCTACATGTTCTCAGTCAATTAAATGAAAGTAAAATAATGAAAATATTTTAGAACCATTCAGTTAGCGATGAAGAGTAGCTACAGAACTTCAGCTGGGGCAGAGAAAGTAGATAAAGCTCTTAGATTTTTGCAAAGGAAAATACAATTTTCTAATAAGAAAATCATAGAGATCCTGCTTGTATTCTCTTATTATAATTCTGACCTTATGAGTTATTTTATAATAATAACGGTTTTTTTTTTTTTTTTTTTTTTTTTTGTGCTATATAGGATGAGGAGTTGGATATATCTCCTGTTGAAATTGATGATGCGTTGGTGATCGAAGATGACGATATCTCAGATGACGATGAAGATGACCATGATGATGTATGTTACTGATTATTTATCTATTTATTTTTCTTATTGCATTCTTCCTTATTTCTTACAGGAGTTGTTTTTTTGCAATCATAGTCATCTGTTACTTGTTATGTTTTCCAATCTAGATTTTTTGGAAAGCATTATTTGCATCTGAACTGGATGATATATCTAAAATCAGGATCCATAAAGATGTAGTTCGTGTGGCAGTGTAACAGTGTTACATTGTGTTATCCAACCATTCTGTATGTGTCATGGGAGGGAATGACAAATGGAGAGAGGGATTTGCTTGAATCATGTTGGCATGGCTGACCGATCCTGTTTATGGACTAACTAGTCAGATAATTATGATCAAGGAGATGGAATTCTTTCTAAAATGAGTGGCTGCATCTTTCTGCTTGCTATTTCAGTTTTGTGATGGATTTCTTGTTTGTCATTTTTCAGGTGCTAAGAGATGATTCTCTTCCAGTTTGCATGTCAGACAAAGTACACGACGTTAAACTGGGTGACTCAGCTGATGATAATCCTGTTGGTCCTGCAACAAGTGATAGCCAGACCAATCCAGCTTCTGGTTCTAGTAGTAGAGCAGCCACGCTTAGGGGCTCGGATTCTACAGAATTTAGGAGTGGGAATTCTTTCGGTTCAAGAGGTGCAATGTCATTTGCCGCTGCTGCCATGGCTGGGCTTGCATCTGCAAATGGTAGGGGCATAAGGGGAGGCAGAGACCGGCAAGGGCGCCCTCTGGTTGGTTCTAATGATCCTCCTAGACTAAAATTTTCTGCAGGTGGGAAGCAGCTTAACAGGCACTTGACTATCTATCAGGCCATTCAACGTCAGCTTGTGTTGGATGACGATGATGATGAGAGGTATACTGGAAGTGATTTTGTTCCTAGTGATGGAAGCAGGTTGTGGAGTGATATTTACACCATTACGTACCAAAGGGCAGACACCCCAAGTGATAGGACCTCTGTTGGGGCTTTAAATTCTACTACCCCATCTAAATCTACAAAAGTTGGGTCTACATCGAATTCCAATTCTGACTCCTCATTGCATCGAATGTCACTTCTCGATAGCATTTTGCAAGGGGAACTTCCTTGTGATCTGGAAAGATGTAATCCTACTTACAATATATTGGCATTATTGCGTGTATTAGAGGGTCTGAATCAGCTCGCACCTCGTTTAAGAGTCCAGGCAGTGACTGACATTTTTTCCAAAGGGAAGATTTCGAATCTAGATGAGCTGAGTGCTACTGGTATCAAGGTTCCTTCTGAGGATTTTATCAATAGTAAGCTCACTCCAAAATTGGCCCGACAAATCCAGGATGCCCTTGCCCTTTGTAGTGGTAGTCTTCCTTCATGGTGTTATCAGTTGACAAAAGCATGTCCATTCTTGTTTCCTTTCGAGACAAGGCGTCAGTACTTCTATTCTACTGCTTTTGGGTTGTCTCGTGCATTGTATCGCCTTCAACAGCAGCAGGGTGCTGATGGTCACGGATCAGCCAATGAGAGAGAGGTGAGAGTTGGGAGGTTACAGCGCCAGAAAGTCCGTGTGTCCCGAAATCGCATTCTGGATTCTGCTGCAAAAGTCATGGAGATGTACTCAAGCCAAAAGGCTGTTCTTGAAGTAGAATATTTTGGTGAAGTTGGCACTGGATTGGGTCCTACCTTGGAATTTTACACTCTTTTAAGTCATGACTTGCAAAAAGTTGGACTGGGAATGTGGAGGTCAAATTTTTCATCAAATGAACCTCCAATGGAAGCTGATGGAGATAAACAGAAGAATAGGAAAACCAATAATGTCACTGGTTTGGATACTGCTGTGGGTGATAGAGATCTTGTCCATGCTCCTCTTGGGTTGTTTCCTCGTCCTTGGCCTCCAAATGCTGATGCTTCTGGTGGTAGCCAATTTTCAAAGGTTATTGAATATTTTCGGTTGGTTGGGCGTGTGATGGCCAAAGCGCTTCAAGATGGGCGACTCTTGGACTTGCCACTTTCAACAGCATTGTACAAGCTTGTGCTTGGTCATGTAGGTTTCTTGATTAATTGTTTACTTAGGAATTGAAATGTTACACCTTTATATATAGAGGCGCCCCCAAACCAACCCCCCCCCCCCCCCCTCCCCGATTTTTTTGTTGTTGTTGTTGTAGTATTGATATGTTTGATTACATGGAGTCTTCTCTAATGCAATGCAGGAGCTAGATTTACATGACATCTTTTCCTTTGATGCCGAATTCGGGAAGACGTTGCAAGAATTGCAAGCCCTTGTTTGCCGGAAACAATACCTAGAATCTATGGATGGTCATAGTTGTGATGGAATTGCTGATTTATGTTTTCGTGGGGCTCCAATTGAAGATCTCTGTTTGGATTTTACCCTTCCTGGTTATCCAGATTACATTTTGAAACCAGGCGATGATAATGTACTTGACATATCCTTTGAATGTGTCTTTATATTTTGCACTCAAATATTTTTTTCGTTGCTTTTATTGTCATCAATAGTATTTTTTGAGAAACAAATTTTCTTGTTGAAATTGCAGGTGGATATTAATAACTTGGAGGAATACATTTCTCTGGTTGTTGATGCTACTGTCAAGACAGGGATTACACGGCAAATGGAAGCATTTAGAGCCGGATTTAATCAGGTTTGGAACTTCCCATGGTCTTCATTAAATTTCATATATTTTTTAAGAATTGAATGCCTTTGTCATTTTTTATTTTTTTTATTGTATTTTAATTCTTATGTTACTGATTAGCATATGATATATCATTGCACATTTTACAGTAACTAACGCTGTTTTATGTACCTATCCCTTGAATGTTGGACTCAACGATGTTCAGGCGAGTTTGAGCTTGGCTCAGGATCATATACATCTCATGGTTCAATATATATATATATATATATACACACTGTGTAAACTACAAAAAAAAAAAAAAAGGTACTTAACTATCAGTGTTTTGCAAATGACCCCCTCAACTTTTGAAAATGTGCAAATCGGGTCAGTAATGTCATGTTGCCTCGACTAATTAATTCTCATTACCAATTTGACCTCCTTTTATCTAAATAGAGAAATTTAAAAACTAATATGTGTGAAATTCTAAATACACACATAAGAAAGTAACAAACTACAGATGCAATTCATTGTTTTCATCCTCCCTTTCCTTCTCTCTCTAATCGCTCTCAATCCCACACCAGACACCACCTCCCATAATCAGGTTTGGAACTTCCCGTGGTCTTCATTAAAATTTCATATATTATTTAAGAATTGAATGCCTTTGTCATTTTTTATTTATTGTATTTTAATTCTTATGTTTTGATTAGCATATGATATATCATTGCACATTTTACAATAACTAATGCTGTTTTATGCACCTATTCCTTGAATGTTGGACTCAACGATGTTCAGGCAAGTTTGAGCTTGGCTCAGGATCATTTACATCTCATAGTTCAATATATATATCTTTACTCTCTGTAAATTACAAAAAAAAGAAGTCCTTAACTAGCAGTGTTTTGCAAATGACCCTTCAACTTTTGAAAATGTGCAAATCGGGTCAATAATGTCATGTTGCCTTGACTGATTAATTCTCATTGCCAATTTGACCTCCTTTTATCTAAATAGAGAATTAAAAAACTAATGTGTGAAATTCTATATACACACATAAGAAAGTAACAAACTACAGATGCAATTCATCGTCTTCAATTCATCCTCCCTTTCCTTCTCTCTCTAATCTCTCTCAATCCCACACCACCTCCCATCAGATTTTCATCCCTCCTTGCACTATACCTGCCACCGCCACCTTCTGTCTATTCACAAACATTGTCAAGATTTTTTTTTTCCTAGTTAACATAGTCAACATTTCAGTGAATGCTCCACATTGATCAGCTGCATGCCCATCCTACCAAAATTTATTATGCTGAACATCTGGTGAATCTTAATTTCTGGAACAAAATCCTTTCTTTCAACCCCCACCCACCAATTCACCAAATTGGAGTCGGCACAATACATGGGTCAGTTTTGATTATTTTAGCCATGAAAATAACATGGATTGGTTGCTTTGGTGAGTGATATATTAGAAAAATATGACGTGTAATGCTTATAGATATAAGCCGGTGTTAATGGGTGGGATGGTGGTTTTGTGCTGTCACCATATCCTGCAACCACCATTGTAAGCATTTTTCCACTTTCACTCTGACCAAATTAATAGCCCTCGGAACACATATATGAACAATTCATTCTTGTATATGTGAGAGAGAAGTGGGTTTATTCTGTAGAAAGGGTTTAGTTTTAATGAGAGAATAGAGTGGAAGTGTTGAGGTGGGTTTTTCCCTCTACAATCCAAATACTGGGTATGCATGCATACACACCCATTATACACACATGTCAATACGTGGCGGAGAACGGTGGTGATGGTGGATTGTGAGGTGGTCAATTATGAAGAGAAAAGAAAAAGATGAAGAAAATGGCAGTTTTGAGGTATCAGACTTTTCAGATTGATTATCAAGGGTAAATTTGATTTTTTACTTTCTGGTTGAGAATGGGAAGCGGATCAGGTCTCATAATATTAAATATCATAAACGGGCCAAGGGTATTGTTTTCTTCCAAAGGAGTGTAAATTTCATAATTGAAAATATTATAAGTTATGTTTTTTTTTCCCCCTTAATGGCACACTAAAAGGGGTTATTTGAAAACATTATGAATAATACTTCAAGGGGTTATATGTCAAAAAATTAGTTTAGGGGTTTTTTCTGCAAAAAGGAAGATGTTTAAGGGGGGGCTTGATGCAATTTACCGTATATATCTGTAACTATGTGAGACTGTGGGAGAGAGATGAGAGAAAGGGAGGGGGGAGGAGGCGGCAGTCTGCATAATGGTAACAGAGAGGGACGTTCTTTTGTCTATGCTTAGGGTTGCAAATTTGTGGGTTTTTTTTTTTTTTTTTTTTCAATGTAGTAATGTCTTAAATCTTCTTGGGCAAGGGTATGGGCCTTAATGTGAACGATCGTAGGCTTTTGGACAAAACATGTTTGTTATAATTTTATAAATAACCTACCTTGGGCTCTTAGATTTATGTATGTAATTATCTATACCATAAAACGGGCAGGACTAAAACTTATATGAGGCCTTATACGAGCTCATTGATGAGCCTAAAGAGCCGAGCTCGGTATTCTGAAGCCTCGGCTTGTGAACAATGTTGGACAGACTTAATTATCAAAAAAAAAAAAAAAAAAAAAAAAAAAAAACGATGTTGGACTGGCTTGGGCATTTGTACCGAGTGCAAGTGTTTTGTCCGAGTGCTGGGACATATGGATTTATCTTCAAATGATCCAAAACTTGGATACAGGCACTTGGCACTTCTTGCACATGTAAAAATACAGCATGTTACATAATAGTGTAATATAATGGTGTTATATTCTTGCATAGTATACTGTTTAGATAAATTGAAAATGATGAGAAAGGCTAATTCCATATATATCTCATAAGTAGGAAACTTTATTTGTTATCATTTTTTTTTTTTTTTTTTTGTTCCTTCATCACATTTAGAGGATCCACATTGTATCACGTGGACAATGTTTGTAGGGAAATAGGAGAGTCCATGTAGCATAATTTTGAAAAAGACCTGAACTCTGTTAATGTTCTTTAACAATTATTTGGTTAAAAGTCTTCAAAACTTTACCCTTCTTCAAATTATCTTTTTCACAAGTACTTGCACCCGCTTTTATGAGGCACCGATACTAGCAAAGTCCTATATTCTATATTTCTAATATTAGGGTATGAACATCAACACCTAGACATGCACCCAAGTCTGACACTGACACTAGAGTCCATGTACCATAGCTTCTGGACATGCTTGTTTGGTGCTATTTGTGAGTACCAATAAACTCGTTTTCTGTACCTATCAGGTGTTTGACATCTTGACCCTACAAATATTTTCTCCGCATGAGTTGGACTATTTGCTTTGTGGCCGTAGAGAATTATGGGAGGTAATATTTTCTTGTGTATGTTCTTGTGACAACTCCCATTTAAACTTCTGTTTCTTACATTAACATGGTTAAATATTAAATTCTTCTTTTATGCAGGCAGAGACACTTGTAGATCACATCAAATTTGATCATGGATACACTGCCAAGAGCCCTGCAATTCTTAATGTATTTTCTCTTCCCACCCAAAAATCTGATTCCAGTTTTATGGCTTCATAATAGCTTTTTTGTTAGTTTCACACCATCCTAATGTTACCTTTTTTCTGTCGTCTTCAGTTACTTGAGATTATGGGTGAATTCACCCCGGAGCAGCAACGAGCTTTTTGTCAATTTGTTACTGGTGCACCTCGGCTTCCGCCTGGTGGTCTGGCAGTGCTGAATCCAAAGTTGACTATTGTTAGAAAGGTATAATACATAATGCAAATGTCGTCAAGGGCCTCCATTTATTCTTCAATTAATTTTAGTGCACATGTAGATTTTTATTCCGTTTTTACTTGAATCTCTTGGTACAGCATTCTTCAAGCACTGGTAACACAATGTCGAATGGGATTGGATCATCAGAATCTGCGGATGATGACTTGCCTAGTGTGATGACATGTGCCAATTACCTGAAACTTCCTCCCTACTCCACCAAGGTACAGCTTTTTGGTACTCTTAAAAGTTTTTTTTTTTTTTTTTTTGATGATTTTTAATTTTTTTTAATCCTCCCAAATAACACACCCACCCACCCTTTTGGTATTCTTAAAAGTTCCTTCTTTTTTTTTTTGATGATTTTTAATTTTTTTTTTAATCCTCCCAAATAACGCACCCACCCACCCACCCACTTGCTCCTACTGGGATTTGAATCAGTAGGGTACAACCTTTGGTATGTTATTCTTTGTTATAGTGAGAAAATATGAAACTGGAAATTATTTTTTAATGGAAATTATTTTCTGATTTCTTTTTTATTTGATTTGTTGGCTGAACAGGAAATTATGTTCAAGAAACTACTCTATGCAATCAGCGAAGGGCAGGGATCTTTTGATTTATCATGATTCTTCAAACTGACTAGTTGAGCTGTGCTTTCGGGGTCTTTTCTTAACTGAGCTGATTTTAGTTAGCATCTATTCTGCTCAATAATGGCTTCCTTTTTTCGGCCTACCCAAATAGCGGCACTCTTGAGGTCAGTTTCTCTATATTCATGGAGGATGTATGGTTGAATTATGTTATCGGGACGAATAAGATCAGCGGGTTTATTTGGGTCCAGGTTGACCGATTTGTCGCCTGTTCAGAGAAGCTTCTGTTGTGGAAGGAATTTGTGGAGCTCTTTTCTTCTGCTGCAAGTGTTTGTAAATAAATAGGAAATTGTCATATTTATCTTTTCTTTCAACTTATTGGCTGGTGGAGAGTTTTATACATGTATGGGCATGTATTTTTTGCCCTTACTCTTTTTTCCATTCTAAATTTAGTGATCTTTGCTGCTAACAAAATTTTTCTTTTTTCAGAACAATAAAAATTAGTGTAAAAAGGAAAAAATCTTGAGATTTATTATTATTATTATTTTTTACTTATGGTGGTTTCATTCAAGATTTTCATTTGACAAATTGATTGTGATGCTGTAAGATTGGATTAGTAAATATATTTATGAAAGGAAAAAGAATATGGATATTAATCGATCACTTGGGCCACGCTGAGAATCAACAACCCGTTGACTACTCCTTTAGCAAATGTATCATCTCTCTATCAACTCTCCATATACGTGGTGAAACAGCCAGACGAACTTCATGACTTTAAAAAATAATAGTTAGACCCGAGTGCAATAAACACTTCGAACTACGGGTGCCCGATATCTTGATTTGCGCCGTTTTTCGAGAGTCGATGGTTGCTGGGATGCCGGAGTTGGGTTTGTTTGTCTGCTCCTTTATGGAGCTTTTTGATGTTTTGTGTTGGGAGTGGATCTGATGCATTTGCGTCTTTTGCCGACGCACGTTGTCTCTGGTGCCTACGCTGGTGTGTTTGGTTCTTTTGCCGGTGGTTTTTTTTTTCTTTTGTTGTGGTGGTTTTCCTTCTATAACTGTTACTTTTTTTTGGCTTGTCAAGACTATTGATCTTGACTATAAGAGGTGTTTGTTAGTTTGGGATGGTATTTTATGTGTTTTTTATCTTCTGTATCTGCCCGATGATCTTGTTGTAGATGCCGTATGGCGTATGACAAAAACTATGGGTGCATTTTGCAATTATTATTGACTTGTTGCAAAATGCACTTTCAAAATGTACTCGTTGTTGCAATTAACACTTCCAACTTTTAAAAGTGTTTACATTACCTAACGATTTTTAAGTTTAACCACATTAACAAACTTGTGTGCACGTATGCGTCTACGGTCATGATTTTCATGTTAGATAAATTAAAATTTGGACTGTAGAACAAAAGTGGAGAAGGGAGCATTTTACGTTTTGAGTATTGTATACCTAAATGCTGACAAACGAGTCGGTTAAACTTGAAAACCGTCAACCTCAAGAATATAACGTAAGCAAATTTGAAAGTCGGAGGGTGTTAATGGCAACAACTGATAGTTGAAGGGTGCATCTTGTAACAAGCCAATAGTTGAGGTGTGTTTGCTAAATATTTAATTCTACTTGATTCTTTGTGTGTGTTTATTATAATGTTATTTTCAATTTATTAGTAATATGTATAAAAGACGTGGAACTATGCAAGGGTTATATAATGATTTGGTTTTGAAAAGAGTAAGAAAATACGAGCTCATTCAAAGAGATTGATATTAAAATAGCATGAGATGATAAAATAGTTCCATGGGTTAAAACAATTTCATTCAATACCGATGATCAAAAGGGCTTATAAGAAACACACTATTTTTTTCTTACTTTTCCTTTTTCTCCACTCAAACTTGAATCTTTTAGTAATGAAATGAAAAACTATTCCTCAAAAATATAGTGTAAAGGTACTTTTGTAATAATTTTGCAGTTTTTATTTTATTTCATTTTATTTTACCATAGCAAGAAACTTATATACCTACTTTGCATTGTAGGGACTTAAACCTTCTCATTTGTTTTGCTATTGTTAACATGATTGATTAAGGATTTCTTTTCATCTATTAACACAATTAGCATAGTTGATAAGAGCTGACTTTGTAAACTTAATACTTACCTTATATGTATAATATGTGTATAGTATATATACCTCATTGTTAGAAGAATAAAAGGATTGTAAGATTTTTCTATAGTTTTGATATGGTATCAGAGCCTATACGATTAGGGTTTTTCTGATTTACTTTAGCAATCACCAATTTGTCTAAACTCTACCAATACCTATACTTATCGTCACTCTATAATACCTAAAATCATACCTGCCGCTGGCTATACTCTGCTTGACGGTGGCTTGTCTTTCTCTTCGACTAATCAGTTCTTGTCATCAGCCTTATCTTTGCTTCAAATCGGCTTGGTTTGTCTATTTCTTGCCAAATTAACTATTGATTTCCGCTGCGGCTTATCGAAAAATCATCGATTCGACTTACCCAGACCCTCTTGGCTTGATCTGAAGGTGGTGGACAATCTGTTTTTGGGTTGACTCGTCGCCAACTTCATTCTTCTTTTATACCATGAGTTTTTTGGGTTTTCTCTACTACAACTATTCTTCTTATTGAAATTTGCAATCTGTGTTGCTATAATTTTTAGGGTTTACAATTTGCGTTGCTGTGTTCTTTAGTCAATATATATATATATGTATTTAAGTGCTACAAGTAATGGGTGACTCAAAAGACAAAGGAGATTCAACTTCTGCCTCTCCGCTGTCTGACTCGGTTACTGTTCATCAAGACCACTTGTCCTTACAAATTACTCCAAATAAATTAGATGGTTCCAATTTTTCCACTTGGTCCAATAGTGTGGACTTATATGTCACACGTCGAGGGAAAGTGGGATACGTGACTGATACCAAGGTTAAGCCTAATGAAAAAGATATTGTTGCTTATGCTACTTGGGTGGAGGTCGAGGGGAAGTGGGATACTTGACTGATACCAAGGTTAAGCCTAATGAAAAAGATATTGTTGCTTATGCTACTTGGGTGGAGGTGAATGCCATGGTTAAGTCATGGTTGCTCAGTTCGATGGCTCCTGGAATTAGGGCTGTATTTCTCTGCTTGCCCACTACCCATAATGTTTGGGTTGCAGTTGCTCAAACATTTTCTATTGGCAAAGATGCTTCACAGATGTATGAACTCCGTTGCTGAGCACATGAGCCACGTCAGAATGGTAATAATTTGACTAAGTATTATGCTGCACTTCAAATTATTTGGCACTAATTGAATTATCTTCATCCTTGTTCCATGGAATGTGCAAAAGATGCGACTACAATGAAAAAACAGAGTGAGGAGGATCGTCTATATGATTTTTTTGGCTGGTTTAGATCCCAGTCTAGACCAAATTAAGAGCCAAGTGTTTGCTCAGGATCCACTTCCAAATATTCAGAATGCTTATGCTTTTGTGCGCCATGAGGAACTTCGTCAACTAACTATGATGGCGGGAAAATTCAGTGATGGCTCAGCTATGAAGGTGGGATCTTTTCCTAAGATTGCATCAGTGATTCCTTCTATTGGTACCACTATTCCTCTAAGCAGGTCCTCTTTCGGTTCATCTGATTTTAAATCCTCTGATACTCGGAGATGTACCTATTGTAATGGTACTAAACATGTTTGAGAAACATGCTTTAAGTTACATGGCTATCTAGACTGGTATGTTCAGAAGAAGAATGCCCAGAAAAAGGAAGGCAACTCTGGGTCTCAGGCTCATCATGTGATACCCTCAAATTTCCGAATGCGGGTTCGCCAGGCCCACGCCTGAAGACCCAGGAATATCAAAAGCAAATTGGCAATAAACGAATATAGATTACAAGAGGAATAAAATAAATAAATATTTTGTTGAAAGAAATTCTATTAATTAAATAAATCATTCCTTACAAAAATAAAATCTATAAATGTAAATCTCTAAAATACAACTCGGGAATCCTGTAAGTCAAGAACCCCTAAACCAAAAGCTACAATCCACCAGTTCATATATAAATAAACTAACATTTAATAATAAATGTCAACACTACTTAGAAGTAGATAAGATGAGTAGATGAAAGACAAGTCTCCAATTTGCGGATCCTCAATCTCGAGACTGGAACTTCGAACAACCTGAAAAATAAAGCGTGGGTTACCCTCTGATGTTGATTTTAAAATATAATCGCAAGCACACGAATCTATTGGAATATAGATAGGCAAGAATGAGGTCGAGCCCAAAGGAATGCTTTGAAGAAAACTAATACAAATCTAAATTAAATTAAAACTAACCTAGTTACCCAAATTGATTGTAGAGTGAATAATAATAAAAAGCAAGATTAAAATAAAAATAAAGATTGAAATCAGTAGAGAGAAAACACTAAGGTATTGGATTCCACCACCATTAAATCCATAAAGTCTCAATCATCAATTAATCAATTCCTTAAGTAATAAAAATAATTTGGAAGTCACTCCATTATTTTTGAAAGATCTTATCATTAAAACTCAAGTAAAATATTTTCAAATCTAGATTTTCCTTCGCTTACAAGTTGTAAAATTCTAAGCATCCTATGTATTCAACTTAATAAAAAACATAAGATCAAAGATTATTACTTTTAAAGAATATAAAAACCAAGCCTAGATTAATTATTTGATATTTCTAACTACCATCAATATATGATAATAATGGTGAAAAAAACTTACAACAATTAATCATATGAAGCAAAAATCATACGCATTAAAACCAAACAAATAGGAATTGATAAAAGAACAAGAGAAATTTATTTCATTAATAAAGGTTTCATCATCAACCTTGGTTGAGAATTTAGTTACACATGATAAAAGAACAAAGCAAATAGATGAAAGATGACATGAGTAAAAAGAATTAAAACAAATAAACCTAGATGTCTTTTAATTGATTGCTCGATGCCTCCTCCTCTTCTCTTATGTTTTGTATACTGTCCTCTTGATGCACACCTTGTGTGTTACCAAAAATAGGTGTTTATATGTGGCAAATGGGATATCAACTTTTATATTTATAAAACTACTAAACACTTATACGTTAGTACAGCGAGAAGGGATCATTCATAGGGATTATTGGCTTGGAATTTAACTTAACATCAATGAGCTTGAGATTGAAAAGATAGTGAATGGTTTGGTTAGACTAATGGTGGTTTTATTATTATAGAGCATGCAAGTGAAATAAAGCTACATTAAACTTGGATTAAAGTATAAGGAGAGAGGCTTAAGGCATAGATTACACCACTAAACTCATGCAATTATACCAAATGCCTTCAATTAATGGGGAAAACACATTGAAATAGAAATGTGGCTACAAGCACACATCAATAATCAATAAGATAATACAAATTGCAATGAATAAGTATGAACTATCAAAATCAAATATGAATTGTCTAAGTAACTACAATTACTCTAAGGTGTAGCACAACCCATCAAGACTAAGTATAATCCATCAAAGTAAGAGCAATTGTATCCAATAGAAACCATGCATGGCCA